TATTTTATGATGTGGTCCACCCGACTGAGCTTAACAGAAGCTAAGGCTGAAGACTGTGCTTCAAATAGTACTGACTCTCCCTCATTGTCTTGCTTTTAGTCATGCAGGACTCTCAGTGCAGCGTTCCACTCCTTAGCACCTTAGGGACTTGCAATCTGGAAGAACTAGTTTGAAACTCTCCAATGGACCATTTCTACAGGGAGAGGTCAGAAGTCAGTGGTGTTCTGAGCATATGCCTGGGTAAGTTTGGAAAATATGGATCCTTCCTGGACTCAGAGTCGTCCTCAACCCAGCAAGAGACCCTCATCCTTACCGAGGGTCTCAGGGAGTCACCCTCAGACTTACCGAGAAATAGACATTGCCATCAGGCAGGACTCCTCCAACCACCAGATCGCTCCCCACTCTGGTGTAGCGATTTGTGAAGCCCAAGCCCACCCAGCCGGCTGTCTGGACCTGGAGCTCAAATGTGATGATCTCAGCCTCAAGGTTAAAGTCCCAGCGCAGGAAAACGACATTGGAAGGATCTAGGAACCTAGAATAACGCAGGCGAGATGTGGAGCCAAGGCGTTTGCCTTGGAAGGGGGCTGCCAGAGTCATAAGTAGGAGAAGCCTGCAGAGAAGGGCGCAGGTCATGGCTCCTGGGGTCCGGGGCATCTCTCCTACAGACACTCAAGAAGTATGGATTTATATGTGCCTCTACCTGTGCTAGGCACCGTGCCACGGGGGAGGGACAGACTGGTGCTCTTCTGAGCTGATTATCCCCTGGATTCCGAGTGGTGTCGCTTACATAACCCTGGAGGTTATGAGGTGTGAGGTGCTCAAAGAAGGTACAGAGCATATTGCTCTTGCCCTGGAGCAGGGACCTGACGTGAAATTCTCAGAAGTGGGTCATTTAGACTCTTCCACCCCAACCCCATGCCAGGGTCCTGCTAATGGGGACCCTACAGAATCAAGGCGGTTGGGTTTCCCCCTCTCCTCCCTTGTCTTTATTTCTCTCTCCCTTTCTGTACCCCCGCCCCATCCCTATATCCGTGGATGTCCTTACTGAGCACGCTGCCCTCTGGCACCTGTCCCCCACCCAGTTTTTATGGGCATTTTCTATATCTGGAACTGGTGCCTACCCAGGGGTGGGGGCAGGACAGATTACAGGCAGCAGAGGAAGGAGAGAAGTTTTTGAGGGGGTGTTTGGGGAAGACTATGATTTCCATCTCCCGGAGGAGTCTTTGCTACTAATCCCTGGAAGGACACGTAGAGGTGAAGGAACCATAATCAGCTTTCCAGATGGGTGAGTCTGAGGCAGCCTTGACTTGCTGCACATTCCTGGGGAGCCGCAGGGAGGAGGAGGAGGGGAAGGAAAGAAGACAGAGAGAATGGGGAATAAATGTAACTGGCCTTTGGGATGTTTGGTGCTTTACCCTTCCTTCCATGAATTGCCTGCCAGAGAAGTCACATTTAGTTGACTCTCCACTTGGATGCTTGGCTCAGGGTCCCCACTGGCTAGTGCTTCGGTATTCAAATAATAAAAGCACAGAATGAATGTTAGAATATTAGGACACCAGATTTACCAAGAAATAGACATTGCTGTCAGGCAATGAATTTTAGAAAAAGAAATTTTAGTGAAAAAGAATTTCAGACCCACTTAATTTTCCAAGGATTGCAATCCACTTATATTTTTAGATGAGGAAAGGGAAATACCAAGGGGTAACATGAGGAGTGCCTGATTCCCCCATCCAGTCAGAGACAGAACTAACACAAGAACACAGGGGCTCTGTCCCCAGGTCAGTGCTCTTTCCATTTTTTTGCTTAGGCTACAGACACTCACAAGGCACCCAGCCACCTGCCATGCCTTCCCCACCATGGCTGGCCCTGATGGAAGGGGTTATCTATCATCTGCTGATTGCTTCTTAGGGAGGGGACGCACATCTCACTTTATGCGCAGAGTTCTTTCTGCCCAAGTTATGACACAGGACATGTGTCCAGGAGGCATCTCCCAGCACAGAAACTAGACCACACATCACACAGGAATCCTGCTCGGAGGTGGATCGGAGCCAGAGCATCTATTTATGCCTCCATTCAGGACATGCATATTGTTTTTAGTACCTATTAAGTTCATCAAAGCTGGTATGGACCCAACTGGGGTGGTTGGCAGCTGCTATGAGCACCTGAGTTGGAACTGGGGTGTAGTAAGAGAAGAAAAGCCATTTCCCATGCCTTCTCTGGGAGAGAGGAGGATGCTAGGCAGCCATCTGGAAGGAAGAGGCTTACCTTGGCCCAGGATGGGAGCAGGGCCAAGACCAGAGGAGAAGCCTGGGAGGCAATGACCTTGAGTAGCAGGAATCCAGGGAGGAGATAACAGGAGTATCAGAGACATTCTGATCCCAATCGCATTTGGGGATTAAGACTCAGGACAGGGGTGGCAGGGAGACAGGGCGGCCAGTCCTATAAACCAAGATGGGGCCAGGATCCCTTATCCTGCTATCTGTCTGCGGGCCAGAGTGGCCGCCTCAGGGAGAAAGCTGGGAGCCAGTGCCTGCAGCTCACGATTTCTGTTCCTGGGTTCCTTCTGGCCACCCACTGGGCTTTTCTCTCCCTGTTTACCTGTTCCCCCAGTTAGGGTTTTCTCCCTCTCCCAGCCCCCTTCCCTTCTACCCTCTGCTCCCCCGAGCCGCTCTCTCCCAGAGTAAACTCAGAATGCCGTGCACATGGCTTGCTAGGTGAGGACGTCTCTGAACCGGCAAGCACGTATTTCTGGTATTCACCACGTGTGATTTGGGCACTGCCTTCCAGAGCTTCATCCCTCTCCATCTCTGGAAAGACGAGGTTGGAAATAGGCAGGACAGCAAAAGGCAAAAGGGAACCGGCACACGTTACTGAGAATGCAGGGTGATGGATATTTTCTTTATGATTAGATGGTGCAAATTTGAAATAGTCAGATATAGAAAATGTTAACAGACTTGTTTTATACACAAAATTGTACATAATGAAAATCTGTTTTTTTTTAAATCAGCAACCACACAGTTTTCAAGTCATCAAGCCAACTGAATTACAAACTGTATTATGCTGTCACCACATGACATCATAACTGTTACTCTTTGCCAGAATCATGGGAACCATATTGTTGTAAGTATTTATACTTGAGCAGATTAACAAAATTAGTGAATCTGGGAGGCGCAAAGCCCCAGGATGCCAGGCCACAGCTGTTCTCTGACATGAAGTCTCCAGGGTGACTGGTCTTATCTTGTTCCGGTTGTCTTCTTCATTCATCAAGAGTGTGTGACAACGCAGACACCTCACTGGGGACACCGACGTGAATACAGTGCAGTCCCAGGTCTTGAAATAGTAAACGTCAGTTGCTAGGTTCCTACGTGTCCCCTTCCTTTTGTCTGTAAAATGCTGAGGGGGAAAGGAAGGTAGCTACGGGCCTTTTACACCTAATTTCCCAGATCACTGATTTCCAAACTTTGTGCAAAATGAGGCCTCTTACCACTGTGGGAAAGTTATGAGATCTTGTGACTTTAATCTCAGTTGATGGCTGAGAGAGAAAGAGAGGTAAATGCTGCTATTAATTGTCATATTGGAATTGAATTGACAGTTGGCCGTGGCGGTGACAAGAGTCAATTCTAAGTGCTCAGTCTGTGCCAAACTCTAGTCCAAGAATTTTTCATGTATTAATCTGTTTTCTCCTATGAAATCACTTTCATCACTATCTCCGTCTTACAGAGGGAGGTACTGAGTCCCAAGGCCACACCGCTAGGTAGTGCCGGCACTGTGAGTTGTCAGGAAAATGCAACTGGAAATAAAAGCTCCTCTCGACTCAGAAAAATCTCTCCCCCAAAGTAGGAAAGAAAGCAGTCTTATTACTGAGTAAACCTTAAACCAATGTGAGATACCTCCCAGGTATTATGTTAAGGGATTACAAAGGCAGACAGACATCCTGGCCTTTTATATAGGTAATCAGACACAACCCATTACATAAATGTTCTCGAGATAAGCAATAACCAGTCCTCAACTAAGAGGCCTGGGCAGGACTTTTGTTAACCCCAGGTTCATCTTACAGTCAGTTGGTAACTGGGGGTGTCCATCTGGATTTGCTAATTTGCTTCACCCAAAGGCAAAGTTAACTTGCCACATCTTTAGAACAGGGAATCATTTTGCAACTTGGTGTGAGGCATCTGCTCTAAATTGAGTTAGGCTCATCCTGACGTTTGTATTTCAAGAGATGACAGCAGGTCCTTGAGAAAAACATTTCTGGGTGATTTGCATACATTTCAAAAGAACAGAGGGGCGCCTGGGTGGCTCAATTGGTTAAGTGTCCGACTTTGGCTCAGGTCATGATCCCACGGCTTGTGGGTTCGAGCCCCGCATCAGGCTCAGTGCTGACAGCTCAGAGCCTGGAGTCTGCTTAGGATTCTCTGTCTCCCTCTCTCTCTGCATCTCCCCCGCTCACACTCTTTCTCTCTCGATCTCAAAAATAAATAAACGTTAAAAAAGTTTTCTAAAAAAGAACAGAGAAAGAACTTAAAATTACACGTTTTCTAAGGTAAATGAACAGGAGTTAAGTCTCTTCCCTTATTTTCAACAGGGAAAAATTAGTCTCTTATGTTTAACTTGTAGTTGCCCTCACAGAGGAAAACGCAGGTAATTAGAAATGAGTGCCCACTGTCCACTGGGCCTCTCAAGTATGGGGGAGAGACCTCTTCGCTCAGTCTACCAGCCTGCTTGGCTGCATTGAGATGTTTTCATCCCTTGGGAAGATTTGAGGCCCAGATTCAGAACTACTGTTGTCTGTGTTCAGCATGTCTGGAACACAGTTGAGAGGGTGCAGGGCCAAATACCTTCACTAAGGCCCTCAGTGAATGTGGGGGTGGTGTGTGCATGCCCGTGTGAGGCTGTGGGAATGCAGGAAACAGGAAACTGTGGGGTCTGAACCTCAGTGAGAAAATGAGACAGAATATTGAGTTTCCTGGAAAAGCCACTCCCTTTTGAGTTTTAGGTCTAGAGTGTCAGCTACTAATTGCCACCTCACAGACCCCTGCTCTCCGGCCTGGCTGGCCCCATCCCACTGCCTTGCTGGAGAAAGCCCATGAGGCCAAGGGAATGGTACCGTTTCCCATTCTGTGGGGCTGGGTGCTCATGGCTACCGTGAGAACAGGTCAGACACCAGGCAGAGAAAGCCACTCCATGGGTTGAGGGAGGGAAAGAGGGACCAGTTTGCACCATTTTGCTCCTTCATCCTAGGCCTTCTAAGATCCTGCCAGCATAGCACTCCCACCCCCGGCCGACAAAGTATCCCTTCCGTCTCCAACTGCCATTGCTCATGGGCCCTTCTCTTTGGGATTTTGCTGCAGCCGGTTATTTGGGGAAGCAGGGTGCGGGAGGTTACTGCTACCCTCAGTACCTTTAACCTGGCCCGACTGTGTATTGCAGATGCCTCAGCAAGCCTGGTGGAGCAAAGGCCCAGATGGGCCCTGGTACTTCATGGACAAGCTAAAACCCTGCACTGCATCCTGAGGGATTCCCAGTACCCCTGGATGAGCTGGTACCAACAAGATCTCCAGGGCCAACTGCAGCTGCTGGCCACCCTGCGGAGTCCTGAGGATAAGGAGGTTGTATCCCATCCCGGAGCACATTACCAGGTGACGCGGGTCGATAACACGGAGCTGAGGCTGCATGTCGCCAACGTGACCCAGAGCAGAGCCCTGTACTGCACCTGCAGCAAAGACACAGTGAGACACCCTCCTTGGACGAATGAATAAAAACCATCCCAGATTGGCAACCACAGACCCAACCTCCCCCTGCGCACTGACAGCCCTCCTAAGCCTGCCTCCTCTCCACCCAGATCCTTCCTTCTTGCCTCTTTTCTACAAGCAGACTTTTTTTTCCTGTTTATTTTTTCATTTCTTTATTTATTTTTGAGAGAGGGAGTGTGTGTGAGAAAGAGCATGTGCACGAGCGGGAGCAGGAAAGGGTCAGAGAGGGAGAGAAAGAAAGAGAGGGGGAGAGAGAATTCCAAACAGGCTCCAAGCTGCCAATGCAGAGCCGGACCCAGGGCGCCATCTTGCAAACCATGAGATCCTGACCTGAGCCAACATCAGGAGTCGCACACTTAACCGACTACGCTTAACCGACTGGGCCACCCAGGCACCCTCTACAGACTCTTACTGCTGCTCTCCTATTGCCCTTTTGGTGAACACTCTGCTCGAGGAGCACAGCAATTTAACCACAGGCTCTGAAGGGCTCCACTGCAGACCACTCGGCCACCTGTGAGCTTTGGGAAAGACTTAATCTCCCTCAAACTTGGCTTCTATGCCTATAAAGTACAGACAGTAACTGTACCCAGCTCAGAGCCTGCTGAGGATCGAACAGCACAGTTCTCCACAATATGCCTACATAACAAGCCAATGCATTTTCACACCAGTATCAATGCCCAGAGGGGTGCCACAAAGAAACCGGGAGAAATTCTGGGAGCTCAGGAAGGAGGCAGAATGAGTGTCTCCATATGTAGCCCCTTCACTCACACCCCTAGAATAAAGACCCACTTTTCCAATTAGATCCCCCTTACGCAGTGCTCCCCACCACCTAAACATCTCACACCCCAATCTCCAGCTGATATTTTTAAAAGTTAAATCCTCAGCGAGGTCCTGACCCAGAAAGGACCAGGGTCTGGATCCGCAGCCCTCTGTGAACATTGACTGAAAAGCCATGGCTCAGAACTGAGTTTGCAACCTGAGCAAGGCCATACACGGAGTGAGGGCGGAGCAAGGAGGCTCGGGCCCCAGGCAAATTGACCCAGAACCCGCAGGCAAGTGTGGAGCCTTGAGAGAGGCCCGGATCCAGGGAGCTCAGCAGAGATGGGAGGCTGGAAGGCTGCTGCGCCACTCGGCTTCTAGCTCGGAACATCTCTATCCCAGAGGGTGTGGACCAGAAGAGCAGGTAACTGGGGTGCAAGCTGGGAGAGAATGAGAAGACATATCAAGGGAACCTCGGTCCTGATGGTGGTCTGGGTGGCCGTGAGGCTGAGCTGCTGGCAAAGGCCCTTTCCTCGGCGCTTGTGGAGAGGAAGTTTTGTCCACTAGGGGGCACCATCTGCCCGTAAGTTCTCCATCACCGGCTCAGACTGAGAGTCTGGCAGAGGTCACAGGTGAGTCCTCTCTCGGCCCCTCTCCGGTATTGTGGTGAACACCAGCGCAGCTCTGGAGGCCAAGAACGGTGATGGGGAGCAGGGCTAGAGGCTGGCTCAGGGCACTGGGGACATTTGGGTATCTGTTCCCTGATCCCTCCAAGAAGGGGACCTCTGAGAACTCTCCCACTTCAATTCTTGGTCAGAGGCGGCCAAGAGGCTGTTTTACACCAGGATGGCAGGGCAGAGAGGCCTGGGCCACAGGCTCCTAAGGAAAGCTGAGGTCCTCTGCTGGCAGCTTTTGGAACTACAGCCAAGCCCCTCTGGCTGGAGCTATGAAAGGCACCATGTTCTGACTGATGGGCTCCCTTCAACCTCAGGCCCCGGGAGCTCCCTAGAGACTTCCTAGATGCAGTTCTGTTCACTTGGACCATGAACCAGGCCTTAATACCACTTCCTAGACCCTCGACTCCTTGGTGATTAAACTAGCCCTCCTAGATTGGCAGATGGAAGGGATTCACAGGATGCTTTTTGATTAGATTCTTTTTTTTCTATCCGTTGTTATCCAGATGGTTAATACTGATCTATGTGATGTAGTTTCCTGTCTGCAGTCTGGTGAGAGTGATTTGTCCATGTCCTTACAAAGTATATTTAGCTTCATTTTCTCATTCAATACTTTCAAATGCCCTATTAGGCCAAGTACCACCATTTGTTGCTTTTTATTTTTGCTTTTATTTTGATAGGGAAGTGGATGCTCAATCACTTGCAGGACCTGCCCAGTGTCACGTGGGTAATGGTCGTACAGCCAGGACTCAAGTACAGGAATTTTGAGTCAGATCTGTGACTCTCAACACCTTTGATGCTGCCTTTTTGTGTAATGAATACATTGCTACCGGGACAAGACAGGTGTGATTTGGAAGGCATCTCTAACCCCTTCCAGAAAGGCGGCTCCCATCGTGGTGCAGATGTGGACGGAGAGCACAGAGAAGTCCACACGCGATGTGGCAGCAAGTCAGGTGAGTGTCCTGCAGAACCCCTAAGTACCCTGCAGACTTGCCCTAGGGGTCGGTGGGTCCAGATGGGAATAGACAGTTATGCATAATAAATCTAATTATTTGGAGGGGAAGGTAATATATTTTGTTGGTGTAAATTAAGATTCTGCTCTGTGGTTATCTCCATAGTTTGGGTTAGTTTGAAGCTTATGGAATTCAAGGACGGGCAGGTAAATACAGGCACCTAAGACAGCAGTCTTTGTTCCCCTTTGTCTCAGCCATCTATCTTCTCAATCAGTACAGGCGCAGAGTACCCGCTCCGTTTTCAGTCTTTTACTAGATATGGGGTGGCTTTCAAGAAATACCAGGCGTGTTTCCTCTTTCCCACCTCCAAATTTCACCCCTCTTCTCTTCTTCTTTATTCTCTCATTTAGAAGGTCCCCGGAGAGCAGACAGCATGAGCTCAAAGTTTCACTTGCAGCTCTGAGAAGCAGAGGAAGGAGAATGGGGCTTCTCTGTTATAATTCAGATTCCTGAGTCCCAAACAGAAACATAGCCCATATTTACGGCCCCTATACCATCATTTCAGGGCTCCTGAGCAGGAGAGCAAGGGAGGTCTCCTGTGAAGGCAAGGGCTTAGATACAGGTGGGCTTGGGAAGAGGAAGTTGATAATGGGTTCATAATTATTGGGGCTTTGGGATCCATGCAAGTCCCTTGAGTTTAAGCACACATCCATGAGTTCCCTGGTGAGGGCTTGTTAAGGATAAACTGGAATAAAGTGGAGGTGGAAGTCAATGAATCCTGACACAGATGAGCAGTTAACCAAGCTGAGGAGAAAGTGTGGAATACTAGAAAGCTTAACAAAGTAATGAAATAGTTAGGGTTGTGAATTTAAACTTGTTTTTCTACTTTTGTGGGTTATCTTCATTATGTACAATGAGAGTTTGGGATTTCTGAAACTAGGGAAACATTTCAAAAATGAAGCAACCCTACCTGGCAATTGACTGTCTAAACAATATTACAAGATACTTGTCTTGCAGTTATAGATTTTTACCTCTACCCAAACAAATACAATAATGTTGTAAAACATCATTTTTATATTTTATACCTAAGAGCCTCTCCCATACAGACTGGGGAAGGCACAGGGGCCTGGCACCTGAGGAAAGGGAACATATATTGGTAAATTCTATCAGATTGTTCTTTGGCTCTCTGATATAACCTGATTTACTTATTTATTTTGTCTGTGTGTGTGGACATGAAAATAGTTTCCATCCCAATTGAAGAAAGACAAACACAGATGTAAAGAAATGGTGATGGGGCGACCTGGGTGGCTCAGTCAGTTAAGCATTTGATTAACTAACTCTTGATTTGAGCTCAGGTCATGCTCTCACAGTTTGTGATTTCAAGCCCCACATCAGACCCCATGCTGACAGTGCACAGCCTGCTTGGGATTCTCTCTCTCTCTCTCTCTCTGCCCCTCCCATGCTCTCTCTTTCTCCCCCCACAAAATAAATAAAATAAACTTTTAAAAAATTATATAAGAAAATAGAAATGGTGACATTACCAATTATCCCTTGGCAAAGACTTAAAAGTGGGGTTCTCACTTATTGAGTGCCTACTATGTGCTAAATATTATGTTTCATGCCTTACACAAGTTATCTTATGTACAACTGGTCCCATTTTAGAGATATATTAAGACAAGACAGGTTAAATTACTTAATTCCTTGCTTAAGGAATTAAAAACTAGTAGTTATTGAAGGGACTTTGCTTCAGATTCTGTGTGTCTCTTTCTCTGTCCCTCCTCCACTCATGCTCTGTCTTTCTCTCAAAATAAGTAAATAAACATTTGAACTCAGGATTAAATACTAAATCTTATCCCAAACCCATGCTCTTTCAGGCACACCAAGCCTGAGATCATCCTTTTGGGCATCTAGAAATGAGATAAACTTACGCTGGAGGGGGAGGTGTTGGAAATCAGAGTGGAGGCATAGCAGTCAGAGCAGGGCACCGACAAAGCTGGCAGAATCCAGACCGCGAAGCATATCGAGGGCTGGAGGGAAGTCAGACAGGTGGCCAGTCGAGGGGCAGCAGGGCCAGGAGAACCAGCTAGATGGCAGGAAGCAGCAGCAAGGAGTTGTGACAGCAAGAAGCTGGCCCCAGATGGGCTCCCAGCAAAATCTAGGAAGAGTAAGGCAGAGACCAAGGCTCACAGGAGCTGGGGAATCAGACAAGGTTGTCAAGACAAAGACACCATTAATGGAACTGGGATTAAAAGGTAGAGTGGGGGTACTTCACTGCAGGAACGGGACAGAGTCCCAGTTACTAGATTTGGGCTATTCGGGTAGAGAAGTGTAATGGCAAGTTTGGCTTGGTGATGAGTTACACTTCTCTTAATCAACGATAGTATTGACCCCACATCTTGGGCTGCTGTTGTAGATGAGGTTCTAGAGATCATAGGTGTACCAACTGAATGGCCCAAGGTAGGGATTTGGGGCTACAGAGAGCCAGCCAAAAGCAAGTTTGCATGCATATTTTATAGTTGAAGCAAATCCTACATGCAATTTACTAACATTTAATGATCTCTTAAAAACAAACCACCACTAGCACCAAGTCATAGAAAGAGCAACAGGGGCATTGGTTTGCTTTTAGTCAAAGTAGCTACCAGACACCCCAAAGCGAGATAGTGAAGGTACCTAGTACTAGTTTTCAAAGGGCCTGGGAGCAATGACCTTGGGTTTACTAGACAGTGTCAGCCCCTGGACTGGCTTCTCTAATCCCCATCTTTAACTTCCAATGGGCAACTTGATCCTCCAATTGTTATAGACAATGACTTCAAATCAAGGCTTTCTTCCACCCTGATTCCCTGTTGAACAGAGATCATTTTATGGTTTCTGAAATCCTCCTGTCCTTGAAATGGATACACAAAAGAAGGCTTGCAAATTATAAGAAGTCTTGAAAGGCTCATCAGTACGGTAGCTGGCATTAATTTCTGTGCACAACCATAGGCTCTAGCCGAATCTTCGCCTTGTTTCTGTAAGATCCTGGCCTACTCACTCATATTTAGTTTTGGGGATCATAGCTTTTCAGCCTTGAGAACAGTGGTTATAGGGAGTATCTTCTTACTCAGTGGAACATGCTTCCCAAATCCTAACCTGTTGTTATGATTTGAGGAAACTGATAAATACCCCCCCCCCCATATTTTCCACATAACTTCTGAACAAATGGAGAGACACAAAGGGATAGGGCAGATGGGAAGGGAAATTCCTGGCAAGGTTACTTATAGAGCTGATAGAGAATATGGCTTAGACATATGGCAACATGGAATTCCCAAGGCTGTAACTTAAAATTAGAAAGATGTATCCCACCACTCAGGATCCTGAGTGGCAGGTTCTACCATATTTTCTGCTAAAAACATAAAGTGCAAATATATAAACAAATAATCTTACAGACGCCACATGTTCTCCTTTCTCAGTGGCATTTGTCTCCCGCTAAAGAACCCCTTAGATTTTAGTCTAACTTGTTTCAGGAACATAGGCAAATGTTAAGTTATTAAGTTCATTTGCTCCTCTTACTCTTAAATGGAAACAAATAATGTTATCTGGTGATGGTTTGGGGTCCTGAAGAGGATTCTTTCGAGGGTTCTCCACAAACATGGGATTCCCCAGGAATGAAACTGACAGGAAGCTCTATTTCTTATTTGATTTATGTCACGAAACAAACAAACAAAAAACACCTGACAGATTTGATACTAGTGGACCAATGGGAGTCAGCGTCCTAAAATATGATGGGATCCTCCCTAGGTCACAAACCTGTTAGTTACAGAAACTGAGTCAGTGCCCACCTGGCACCCTAGAAGATGAACCTTGTTCTAACATTGAGAGCCTCCTTTTTAGCCCATAGAAAGAAAGGTGACCTGAGTCTATTTGCTTAGTAACTTGTGCTCTAGGGACAAGAACATAGTTAAATTTTTTGAGATTTTGGTTTTGAATTGATACTAATCTGTGGTGTTTGTGGTGGTAGGGAAGACATAATCAGTGCTATCCTCTGATCAGTATGGGGCTTTTGCAAATTGAGGGATAAGTGGGTGATTTTTTTTTTTTTACCTAAGTCTTCCCTAGAGTAATTCAATGGGGGCTCTGAAACCATCTAGAATTTATTTCCATATTTCCTATGTGCATTGGCAAGGATGGAAGGGGTGCATTTATTTTCTTACAACTGGTAGAATCTCTACAATATCTCTTGGGTCTGTGAAGTGAGGACTTTTGTTGTAGAAAGGGCTAAGAGAAAGTTGATGGGACTGCCCCTTAATAAATCTAAAACGTCAGCACATTGCTGAGATCAGTACTACCAACGCAGACTTGAAATATGCAGGGTGAGAATTCGTGTTATAATCTCATCCATTTCTTCAGGTGGCTAGGTCATAGAGTGATGGGAAATGATAGTGTTTGATTATCACGTGGTAACACCAATTATAGTTGCTGTTCCATATGTAGCCTCCTTACTAGAGCAAATAAATTCAATCCTTCACACCCAGTATGCAATGATCCATCTGGAAAATGTATTTTTGTACACTGCATTGAGAAGCTCAGAATTAATTAGCTTTCATTTGTCAGGGACAACAGTATATTTTTACCTCCATGCTCAGGCAGTCATCATTGCTCTGCCTCTGAACCTGAATATAGTCTTTAAGGAACTTGACAATCTCAAAGGGTACCATGCTGATCTGTTGTATTGATGATACCATGTTGGTAGTATGAGATAACAGGAAGTAGAAAGTTTCCTGGGTGTCTTGAAAAGACAGATATGCAATGGTGGGCAGGTGATATAACCAGTGAAATATTTGCACCTGCTACTGCAGGTGGGTATATGTTGGATTCCTCTGTCGAATTAAACATGTTTTGTACTTGTGCTCCCTGCTATGAAGAATGGCATCTGAAGACCTCTAACTTTTATAAGCAACATCTATCTCATTAGGATAACATGCTCTGAACCATTTAATGAGTGATCTAGAAAGCTGCTAGTTTAGGAAGAGAGTAAGTCAGAAAAGACTTTGCAGCCAGCACAGGTTGAAGTACAATTCACTGTTTCTTAGATTTAAACTCTGTTGGGTCAATGGTGCTAGAAGTATCTTTAGTGCACTGAATGAAGCTTAATGCAAAACTGAATAAGAAGATCAAAATAGAGATCCCAAAACACGGTAGCACATTCTTGCTCCTTTTTCCCTTTGGGGAAGTAGCTTCTGGTTTGCCACTGAGGGCTACTGGAGACTAAATGCCTGACTCCAGATCACCAGTTGGCCATGAAACTTGCTCTAGGTGGGTGACTGTCATTGACTTGGATATGCTCAACAACATTCCATCCCCAACTTACAGTGTAATGGACCAGAGGTAAATTAGGCCCCGAAAATCCAAATAAGGTGCACAAGCAATTGCTCTGGGAAATCTTTCCTTAAGCCACACTATGACCTCCAAGAGATTTCTTCACAAACAGCTCACTGAGGATGGACTTCACTGGTTGACACTGATACTGACTGCACATCTAATGCGAGAATAAAGCCCCTCCGAGGGATGCAGTACCCCTGGCAGCCTCCTTTCATCATGGAGGGAATAGATATAGTCCTTAGTGAAAATGACATAGTCTGTGTTTGGTCTTTCTGTCCCTTGCCACCTTCCCAGCACCACCATCCTTGAATTACCTGAATGCCTTATGTATCCCACAAAAAAAAGGAATGGATTTTCCTTTTTAAAAAATTTTTATTTTATTTATTTCAAGAGAGAGAGGGGGACAGAGAGAGGGAGGAAGAGGGAGAGGGAGAGAGAGAGAGAATATAAGTGGGGGAGGGGCAGAGAGAGAGGGAGAGGGAGAATCCCAAGCAGGCTCCATGCTGTCAGCACAAAGCCTGAGGTGGTGCTTGACCTCATGAACTGTGAGATCATGACCTGAGCCAACATCAGGAGTCAGGCGCTTAACCAACTGAGCCACCCAGGAGCCCCAGAATGTATTTTCCAACCAAGGAAGTCACAATGGTGAGACAGTAGGCTGATGCCCATGGAATTCAGCGACCTTGATGTATGCATTGTCAATCTAGAATCAACTAGCCTTATAAGATACCCGAATAAACTACTTAAATTGTAGCACCATTTTAAGGTGGGAAACATCTCCAGAGGGTGAGGTGCTCTCTTGCAAAAACCATCTGTTTCTCCACAGCTAAAATGTCCGTTAATACCATATCTGAAGGTGACGCTCTCACAATTGCCTTAATAATCCGTACACAAAATGTTGCTTTTCAGCACTGCAAGCTGGGATTTACTCAGTTCGAGGACGAGATTTCCCACTGGTACTCTGCTTCCTGAGAGGAGTTCCCTTGTGCCCTAGCTGGACTGTGAGTTTCCTTCCAACGGCCCACCCATAGTGGCCACAGGCAGAACCCTCTCAAACTCATTTTTGTTTTTGTGCTTTTTTAAAAAATATCTTTTAATATTAATTTATTCTTGAGAGAGAGAGAACATAAGCAGGGGAGGGACATCTAACCCAAAGCAGGCTCCAGGCTCTGAGCTGTCAGCACAGAGCCCAACGTGGGGCTCGAACTCACAGACCGCGAGATCATGGCCTGAGCCAAAGTCGGTCGCTTTACTGACTAAGCCACCCAGGCGGCCCCATTCTTGTGCTTTAAATCCTAGCTAACTATCAATAGAAACTGTCAGGTGGTAACTGGAGCTGCAGGAGTGAAGTGAAAAGACAGGGAGGGAGGAAGGAAACTGCAAGGCTAACAGTTACAGAGAATGGAGTCCGTGCAGCAGCAGGCATAGTAGAGGGGACAAGCATGTATTAGCAAAATCTGGCCCGAACTCCCAGTTACATCTGCCATGTCCTATGCCTCAGTTCACTTTGTTATTAACCTCTCACGACTCAAGTCTCTACCCAGAATTCTGCAAAATGAATGACCAGGGTCTATGCCTGGTGTAGAAAGCCATGTGGGCAAGGAGAAACAGAGTGCAATACCGCCTATAGTCTCCTTCTTAGGAGCCTTTTCCCTCACCTGTACGTCTAATTAGCTCTCTCTTTGTCAGATTTCCCTTTCCCTTTTGGCATGTGTCACTCAACAAAAGCACTCGTTAATTCGGTGCAAGTAGTAGGGATTTGTCCCCCGAAATGGCTGGACGGCCCTATTTTTTTTCATTAGGTCAATGATCTCTTTGTTAGAACACAATCCCACTTGATAAACTTCAACTGCCTAAGGGGTATTGAGTTTGGCATCTTTATCAAATGGGGAAGAAAAAGGCTTATCACGTAAGGCCACAGTCCAGGGGTGTACAAATCACTCACCCTGTTGGGCAGAAGCAAGACAGGCATGGCTGACGCAACCCAGAGCATCTTCTCAAGGTTTAATTGTGAGACTGGACACAGGGACAGGCTCTGTCACGTGATCCAGAATTCCTACCATGGGAGCTCAGTTGTTTTCAATTGTATTTCTAATCCAAGACATGTAGGTAAAGATTTTAGTATAGATGCCAACATCAGCTCTCAAAACACATCCGTCTGCAAAAGTCAATATTCCTTGAAGGACCCCATTGCAGACAGCTGGGGCGGCTGTGACTTCCTACCAGGGGGAGGGGAAAAAAAAGGAAACTAGGGTTATCTTATCTTTCTAGCAAAAAAGAAAAAAAAAAACACAAAAGAAATAAAATGGGCAACTAAGGCATTAAGAGCACACTACCCTGCAGGGCAGCCTCCTTCCTGGCACGATGCCCAAGCACAGCATACCTTCTTGGATCCTGTAGGTTTTATAGGCATCGTGGCACTCATTCATAGAGATTATGGAGATGTTCACATTCTGCAGCGAGTCGGGCTCTTTGGCTGGAAGACAGAGAGACTAAGAGTCAGCAGATAACAAACCTCCCCTTTGCCTTGTCCTCTTTTTCAACATGTTTCTTCTTCTGGCAGAAAGGAAAAGAGATCAAACACTGAGAGAAATCAAAACCGTGGCTCCTGAGACAGCAGGAAATGATCAGATTAACAATTTCTCACGGTAAGAGTGTCTTATCTCTTTATACAAGAGATTAAATTCTTGGAAGTGACATAATTATGAGACATTTCTACAATGAAATGAAACAAATTACTTTAAAGATTTTCTAGAACTTTAAACATTTCAAGAATATCTTTTGACGTGGAATTCTTATTTATTTTATTTTTTGAGCTTTTATGTTTATTATACGTCTCTTAGTTGAAATTCATCACTGACTCCTTTTTAAAATTTTTTGTTGAAATTTATTTGACCTGTAACAATGTGTAAATTTAAGGTGTATAATGTGTTGATTTGATGCATTTATATATTGTGGGGGTTTTTTAAGTTTGTTTATTTTGAGAGAGAGAGAGGGAGAGCAGGGGAGGGGCAGAGAGAGAAGAAGAAGAGAGAGTCCCAAGCAGGCTCTGCGCTGTCAGTGTGGAGCCTAACATGAGCTTGAACTCGCTAACTGTAAGATCATGACCTGAGCCAAAGAGTCAGACGCTTAACCGAGTGAGCCACCCAGGCACCCCGATACACTTATATATGGCAATATAAGATTGCCATCACAGTTAATACCTCTATCATGTCACATAATTATCATTTCTTTTTTGTGGTGGGAATAATGAAGATCTAGTCTCTTAGCAAGTTTGATCATAATATGATATTGCTGCCTCTATTCAATATGCTATGTCTTAGGTCTCTAGGACTTATTTAACTACTTGTTGTAAGTGTGTACCCTGAAACAACATCTTTCTTGTTTTTAGAGTTTGAAGGAATTTAGAGAGCCTAGTTTTTCATTCGTCAGATCAGAAAAACTCAGTATCTGCTAAAAAAATATTTTATAAACCAGATTAAAATAAACTGCATTTTTTAAAATTATGTCATATCTCTTCTTGACCAAGTAACACAATCCAGATGAGTCAAACATACTGCTCACCAGAGAGACATTTACCTATTTTCAAAACTCAATTTGGCTGACTCTCGGAGGTCAAAGAATTTCTACCTGTGTAGAGAACATAATGGTAAGTGAAATAAACCAGACATAGAAAGACAAATACTGTATAATCTCACTTCTGTGTGGAATCTAAAAAAGCCAAACTCACAGAAACAGAGAACAGAATGGTGGTTGCCAGAGGCTGGTGGGTGGAAGATACAGGAGTATGTTGATCAAAGGGTACAAACTTTTAGCTATTATGTGAATAAGTGCTAGAGATTTAATATACAGCATGGTAGCTACAGTTAATAATATTGTACTGTGTCCTTAAAACTTTCTTAGAGAGTAGACCTTAAATACTCCCATCACACACACACGCATACATAAAGTAAGTATGTGAAGTGATGGGGCCATCATTTCCCATTCTATATGTATACCAAAATATGATGCTTAAATATATACAATGTTTATTTTTCAATTGCACCTCAATAAGGCTTGGAAGAAAAGAATTTCTACTTTTTTTGTGTATTCAAGTAAATATACCTCAAGGTCTGAACGTATTTCCCAAAGAACAGTTTAAAAAGGTTGGAGCAACGGCAGCATTGTTAGGATAACTGTATAGCTGCCTCTTAACTCCTATAAAAGGAGAATTGGGGTGGATGGATAGGTATAGTCTGACAAGCTTGGCCAACATAAATCTCCTTTTCATACTATAGTGTGTATAGCATATAGTGAATAGTAGATACAGAAGTAAGCTTACTCATGAGTGAAATTGTACTAATAATTCTTCCTAAAGGTGTATCATAGAACTGTATTTTATATACAAGACCATAGTTCTGTTTTCCTTATAAGCATCCATCCTACTCCCATACTTCACTACTCTCTTGATTAATAGCTACAGACAGTGGATTCAAACTTAGAAAATATTGGGATGGGTTAGTGGGCAGACAGGCTCGAAACTTAGAAGTCAGAAATCTGTCTTAATTTGCTCAAAGTTTTTTCATGGAATCTGAAGTATGTGATGTCGAAGAAAGCTGAGGTAGAAAGTGTAATTCAGTAGGTTTAAATTACATAGAGGATTTCCACTGATACAAATCGTAGCCATTCTTCAATTTTGTAAAGAAACGAGTGGATGTTCAGAATGTCACCATTCAAACAGGTTTCACAAATATTTTCCTCAAGCTTTTAATCATTTTTTGTTGTATCGCAATCTTGCATATAGAACCCCTGCCTGTTTTTGCACGGTATTACATATTTATCTTATGTTTAATACGTTAATATTATTTCGTGACATTTCAAGGCTTTAAGTTTTTGTATTGTCTAATATAGTTTGAAAACATCTGATATAGTTTGTGCCACATTTTGGAGTTCAGAAAATTGATGCCCCAAAAGCAAAGCAACCAACCATCACACGGCAAATGAAGACTAGAATACAAATGTCTTCTTTCCACTGACACCATTTCTATCATGTCTGAAGCAAAGATGGTAGCAGGATACAGTGAGGTAGGAGACTCAAAGGACTCCTCCAGTAAGGTACAGGGAAAGGGAAAAGAGATGAAAAAATGAATTAAGAGGCCAGAAGGAAGCCTCATTGGGAAGAATGGCAGAAGCCAAGAGTAGAGAAGGAACAGAAGCATCTCCTACCCTGAAAGGAGAGTATTATCCTGAGGTCACTCACAGACATCACATAGGTTGTAGGCCCACGTGGAGACCATGCACATGGCTTCTTCAGGGGCAGGTTCTTCAGGCAGGCTGACCAGCTTCACATAGTCATTGAGTTCAATATATTCTCTCAGCTTGATTAGCATCAGGTCATACTCAATAGAAGTGACTGAGAAGTGAGGATGATGAATCATCTTCTCATAGCCAACTACTTGTATACCTTTTTCATCGTAGTTTGATGGATTCGTAACCCCCAATATCACCTGAAGCTTTCTGGAACAATGTAGTTGTTTGAGAAAAGATTTGACAGAGATTACTTATCCATCCTGATGGGCCTTTATTAGCCCCTTCCCACAGACCTCTTTCTCTACCACTGACCATCCCCAGAAGGCCTCCCTAACTCCCACTTAATTGAACAATGACACCAGGCAGGGGTATGGGTTTGTGCCCAACCTGAAAACCCAAAGCATAAAGTGGTGTTGGGGGCTTATTACTTACGGTAAGTTGCAGTGTGCAGCTGTGATCACCCATAAGGGGTGAACCAGAACTCCAGCGCAGGGCAAGTAATCAGATTTCAAGTAGACCAGGTATGGAGGAGTGATACCAGTTAGGTAATCTGGATCAAGAGCCAGGGAAGCTAGAAAGAGAAACATAGACAGGAAGTTCTGAGTGTTTTTCAGGGATCACTGGGAAAAACAAAGTAAAATTACTTAATACGTTTATGTCCCCCCATCCTTCTCTCTAATACCTTTATCTGTAAACTGAATTTGTAAACTGGTTTACTTTGTTCTAAAAACATGAAGAAAATGATACACACATATCAATTTTCCCTCTTATTTCCATAAATATTTTTCAAATTAAAATATAGGTTTTCTAAATACTTTCTGCAATTCAGCGAACATATGTTAAATCAACTCATAGAGAACTTTCTGTTTTTACCTTTTTTGGGAATGCTTTTATCAATCTCATCCCTTTCCTCCCACAACAGTGAAAGGCAAAACAATACAAGTGCCATTTAAATAACAGACCAACTGCTAACAGAATCTGAGGAGGGGGAGATAATTTATTCATTCATCAAGTAAGTACTGGGAACCTATTATGCGCCAGGCTCTGTTTTAGGTGCTTGTTACACATGGGGAATGAAGCAGATAAATATCCCTGCTCTCATACATTCTGATGAGAGGAGACATTCAATAACAGTAAACACAATACATAGGTGAATGATACAGTGTGTTAGATGGTGATTGGTGCTGTGGAAAAAAATAGTAGAACAAGGAAAGAGGAAAAGGTGGTACTGGAATGTGCATGTGTGTGGCGGCGCCTTATGCAATATTACATAGTGGTCAGGGTTGATGGGCCTGTGGATGGCGTGAGTGGTGATCAATGGGATGAAGATGAGAGAGTTAGATCATCAGGTATCTGGGTCATTGGGGCTCCAGGGGGAGGAAACAGCTGGAGCAAGTATCTAAAAGCTTGTTAAGGAGCATCATAGAATCTGGTGGGGCTGACATGGAAGGCGAGGGGGAGAAGAGCAGGAAGGCACAGAGATTAAAACAGTGACGTTGTGGGGCGCCTGAGTGTCTCAGTTGGTTGAGTGTCTGACTTTGGCTCAGGTCATGATCTCACGGGTTAGGAGTTCAAGCCCCAAGTCAAGCTCTGTGCTGACAGTTCAGAGCCTGTAGCCTGCTTTGGATTCTGTGTCCCCTTCTCTCTCTGCCCCTCCCCCACTCAAATCTGTCTCTCAAAAATGAATAAATGTAAAAAAAACTAAAAATTAAAAAAATAAAACAGTGACGTTATTAGAACATGGACTTTGTTCTGAAGGAATGTTGAGCCACATCAGGGTTTTGTGTAAGATAGTGATAGTTATTTCCTCGTGGATAAGTGTTGAGTGCAAGAGTAGAAAACAGAGAGATCTGTTAGGAGAATAATGTGATAATTCAAGAAGGAGATTATGGCTTGGCCATCGTGAGCAGTAGAAGTGATGAGATGTGATTGGATTTGGGATATTTTTAGAAGACAGAGCCAACAAAAATTTTCCAAACAGATTGAATGTGGGGTATGAGAGAAAGAGCTTTTAAGCATACCTCCAAGGTTTTTGCCTGAGTAACTAGAACTTGCCAGGACAATGCCAAATACCTTCTAATGCTTTGCTGTGCCCATTAGTTGGACCTCTGCTTTCAACCCCTACCTCCGTTTCTCATTCTTCCCTGTGCACATTGGTCCTGTTCTAGACAGGCCCAGGGTTAGGCCAGTCTTCCTTGGGAGCAGGTCTGGTATTGGGGTGTCACCATCCATGTCTCCCCAAAAAGCATACAAGCAATCAAGCTGAGATGAGGCACACGGGCAGCGTGTGGTTTCCAACCAGTGCCCGGTTGGAAAGCTGGTGGGGACAGTAGTGGTGGTGAGGGAGAGAGAATCTGTTCTACACTTGTAGTCTGGCGCAGTACCTTCTATCTTTATCTATCTTTCTTGATTCCTCCCGGATTTCTCACTGGCAAGTCTTGAACTCACCACTCAGGTTCAAGAGAGTCCAGAAGAGGATAAACTTCATATTGATGTTAAAAGCCTTTTCAAAGGATGAGCTTCAGCCCAGGGTCTCTGGAAAGGATGGAGAAGAGGGGCAGAAAAGGACTCAGTAAGATATAGCAAGAAGGGGTTCTAAGAATTCAAATGTGTCATCTGAATTCTTGCAATGACAGGATTTAGCTCCAGAAGAGGTGTCCACCAGTCAGAGTAAGGGGTGGTGTCAGGTATCAGAAAGATATGAACAGAGATCAGGTGATGTGGTCCCTGACACAGAAGAGAATGGGTATGAAATACAGCATTTTTGTTTTCCTTTTCAGGGGGAAACATACCTAATCTGAGAGATGTCAGGGCTCACAGTCTTTCCATAGCCCCTCCTCTCTGCTCTGGCCTTTGTGAGGCTCTGCAATCATGGCCCTCTCCAAACTATACTCAGGACAGTGGCTCCTCCCCTCTGTGTGATGCTAACCCCTGGTTGTGTGACACAGACATTTGTCTCCACTGGCCATAACCCAGCCCCCTGGTGCTGGCCTGACCCCTGTGCCTGACACTGAACTCCTCCTTGAAATATATCAGCTTTTCCTTTCAGGTCACTGCTCATCCACTCATTTATTCACCCAGCCAGCCATTTTTTTATGTGTCTGACTCATGCGAGGCTCTGTGCTCACTGCAGAGGATGCCTAAATGTGAAAACACTGCTCCGCCTTCAAAGAGCTTATACAAGAGTGGGAGTGATAGGTACATAGACAGGCAATTACAAAACAAAGTATTCAGAGCTCAAACTCTACCTATACCACCATGTAGGTGGAAATACTTGCAAAACACATAATCTGTTAAATGATTTGTATCCAAAGTATGTAAGAACATTTTTTGAAATGAAAACAGACAACCCAATTAAAAAGCGGGCTAAATATCTAAACAGATACCTTACCAAATGCATTCATCTGGTCAGGCTGCCATAACAAAACACCACAGACTGGGTGGCTTAATAAACAGACATTTGTTTTCTCACAATTCTGGAGGCTAGAAGTCCATGATCAAGGTGCCAGCAAATTCATTTCTGGTGAGAGCTCTCTTCCTGTCTTGTAGATGGCCACTTCTCACTGTGTCCTCATGTGACATTTCCTCTGTATTTATGTGTTCAGAGAAAGAGAGCCCACTCTCTCGTGTTTTTTTTTTTTTTTTTTTTTTTTTATAAGGACACTAATCCAGGCACCTGGGCGGCTCAGGTCATGATCTCATGGTTTGTGGGTTTGAGCCCTGCATTGGGCTCTGTGCTGCCAGCTCAGAGCCTGGAACCTGCTTCAGATTCTGTGCCTCCCTCTCTCTCTGCCCCTCCCCTGCTCATGCTCTGTCCCTCTCTGTGTCTCAAAAATAAATAAACGTTGAAAAAAATAAATTAAAAAAATAAAAAATAGGGACACTAATCCTACAGAACAGTGCCTCACTCTTATGACCTCATTTCACCTAAATCACCTCCCTCTGGAACCTGCTTCCAAATACTGTCACTTTGGAGTTAAGGCTTCAACATTTGAATTTTGGGAGGATGCAGTTCAGCCCATAACAACAAAGATGATACACAGATGGCAAATAGCATATGGAAAGTTTCTCAACATACATTAGGGAATTACGAACTAAAGCAACAATGAGATATCATTATGCGCCTGATAGAAAGGCTAAAGTTTAAAACAGAACACCAAATGCTGCCAAGGATGTGAAACAACAAGAATGTTTATTTATTGCTGGTGGAATACAAAATGTACAGTCACTTTGGCAGACAGTTCGGTGGCTTCACACAAACTCAACATAATCTTACCACACGATCCGCCAGTCACACTCTTGGGTATTACCTGAATGAGTTGAAAACTTATGTCCACAAAATCTTACACATGAATGATTAAGCAGCTTTAGTCACAATTGCCAAACCTTGGAACCGACCAAGATGTCCTTAATTAAGTAAAAATGGGTGAATAAAGTGTGGTACGTCTGCCCTGGAATATAATTTACTGATTTAAAAAAAATGAGTTACCAAGTGATAAAAGACATGGGGAATCCTTAAATGCTTATTACTGAGTGATAGAAGCCAGTGTAAAAATACTATGTATTTTGAAAAAAGCAACCTATAGAGAAAGTAAAAAGATGAGTGGTTGTCAGAATTTGAGGAGAAGGGGAGAAGGATGACAGGTAGAGCACAAGGCATTTTCAGGGCAGTGAAATTATTCTATATGATACTCTAATTGTAGATACATGACATTATGGGTTTGTCCAAACACTTAGTACTAGATAACATAAAAAGCAAGCCCTAATATAAACTATGGACTTTAGTTACTAATAATGTGTCAATATTGGTTCAACAGCTGTAACAAATATACCACACCAATGAGAGAAGTTAATTTAAGAAATAGATTGCTCAATGGTAGAATCCAGGTAACGGGTATACAGGTACACACTGTGAAATTCTTTCAGCCTTGTTGTATGTTTAAAAATCTTCGTAATAACATGTAGGAGACTTTTAAGTCCTAATTTAAATTCCACTTAGTTAACATACAGCATAATGTTAGTTCCAGGTGTATAATACAGCGATCCAACACTTCCATACCCCCCCCCACCCCCCGCCCGGTGCTCATCACAAATGCCCTCCTTCATCTCAAGCATCTAATTTACCCATCCTTCTACCCACCTCCCCTCTGGTAATCATCAGTTTGTTCTCTATAGATAAAGAGTCTGTTTCTTGCTTTGCCTTGTTCTATTTCCTGTTTTTCCTATGCTCATTTGTTTTGTTTCTTAATGGGGGTTGAGGTACTGCCTTAGAACACAGGATTATAGATACTTACTTCTTCTGCCTACCGTGTTATAAGGAAGGAGTATCCAAAAATTTACAGTTTACCTGGGTCTTGGAGAAGATAAGGAGCTTGTCTCACATAAAAAGAAGAGAAAAATAATTCAAAAAGAGGGGAGACTTCTGCAAAGGCAGGGATATACGTAGCAACATGGTGTGTTTGTGAGGCAGCGACCATGTATTACACTGCAAGTGTTAAGAACTAGGCAGAGAGATAAATAGGAATTCTATAATGAAAAGCTTTATTGTATAAGCCTTGCATATGTAAGGCTTGTGTAAGTCTTTATTGGGTAGGAGATAAGGACCCAATAAATTTATTATTTGATGAAATTCTATTGAATATTTGGGACAGACTTTAAGCTCAATGTTCATGCCCTGCATAATCCCTAATGTCCTCTCCTTAGGTGTGGGACCTGTGGTTTGCTTCTAACTCATAGAATATGGCAAAAATTATGGGATGTTATTCTAATAATTATGTTAATACATAACATTAATATTGTGTGTGTGTGTGTGTGTGTGTGTGTGTGTACACACATACACATCTGCCTGACTAGCATGCACAAGAGAGATTTTTCCCACTGGCTTGGGGATGTAAGCAGCCACTCTGAGGAAGATGAAGTGTTAAAGAACTAGGTTTGGATGCCCTTTCTGCACAAAGGATTGCATGGATTCCCTCAAGGACCTGAGGGCAGCTTTCAGCTGACAGCCCACAAAAGGTGAGGGATCCTGTATCACACAACCAGAAGGAAATTAATTCTACCAACAACTTAAATAAGCATAGAAGTAAATTCTTACCTTAGAGCCTTACTAGACCCTAAAGGGAGGACTCAGCTAAGTCATGCTTGCACTCTTGATTTGCAGAAACTATGAAAAAATAATTGTTTCAAGCTGTTCAGTTTGTGGCAACATTTTTATGCAGCAATAGAAAACCAATACAAATGTATACTGTGTGCTGGTACTTTATTAGATATTATTGATTTAGTGGTAAGTGAAATGGGAATCTTGCCATCACGGATGATGAAGGCTAATAGGGAAGATAGATGTAACAAGATTTGCCATCGTGGATGTCCCAATGAGGGGAAGAAAGGGATGTAGAAAAACACATAGCAGGGACCGTAATGTAAAGGTTCTTCTAAGAAGACCTCTTTGAGGAAGTGGTGTTTGGTGCTTAAAGGATGAGTAGAAGTTAGTCAAATGAATAGAAGGGAGAAAAGTCTCTGGAGAGACATATGAGGACTCAAAAGAGAAGAGCATACACAGAAGAGTGTGAAGAGAGACCCAGAAGAATCCCACAGAATAGACCCTTCAGGAATTGTCAAGTAGGCACTGCCTGCAAAGATGACCCAGGAGGTAAACAGAGAGCAGATCAAGGGAGCACATCCTTGAGCTCCATATTTTAGATGGAACAGGCTTTATCTTGCTTCAATGGTGACAGAAAGAAGTCAATAGATAGGGGAAGGGGAAAAATATAAAGAAGTAGAGATAATACAGCACATCCATGAGGAAGTCAGGGGAGATGTGGTCCATATCACAGGTGGATCTAGAATCCATAGATAATAGGATCTCCCTTCCAGGAAGGATGGAAAAGAATGAGGAAGGAAAGCACTAAGTATGTCTGCAGGGTGGGAGGTGGGGGGTTGAGTGAAGTTATCGATGATGGCTTCAGCCTCCCTGTACTCCCACACAAGAGGTCACCCATGAAGATGAAGCACTGAAGACAAGAGCAGAGAGGCGAATGCTTGAGGTGGCCATTATGGGGAATTGTACAGACAGTGACATGGGAAACACAAGATTGCCAGTATGTGTTGAAGACATGATTTACTCAAATACTCAGATGAGCATTTTATTAAAAACTCTGGGACAATATAAATGTGATTCAATAAAAGGGGCAGGGGGCTTTGGGCAGTGACTCAGAGATGGGAAGCAGTGAGAAACTAAGAATGAGGCTACTAGAGAAGACAGGCAAACAGGGGCTTGCAGTCTGGATGACCAAGGATTACAAGGAAAAGAAGCATCATGGAATTAAATGGCCTCAGCATCCAAATTTGAGAATTCGATTTTTGTTTATGTGTCAGGATAAGCTATGGTCTTACTTGTAACCCAGCTTTCTTTGCCTTTTTTTTTTTTTTTTTTTTTTTTTTTTTTTTTTTTTTTTTTTTTTTTTTTTTTTTTTTTTTTTTTTTTTTGCTTTCTCACCTAGTAAGCAAAGGTGAAGATGAAGAGCATAGAACCATCCCTCCTCTGCAATCTCTACAGATGAATGCATCTGCCACCTCTCTCACGGCATGGAACACCAAACTCCTGTCCTTGCAGTCTTTTCTGTCTGTGGCATTATTCTCTCTCCTCACCTCACTGACCCTCTCTGTTCCTCTCCCTCTTACCCTTTTTAGCGGATGACCTCATATCACACTGTCTCTCCCCTCTGTGTAACACCATGACCTCTCACTCTGGACTCTACTTTAGGGTCACTTGGAATCCTCTCAAGTCTATAGTTTTAGGTGTCTTGGTCAATAGGTCTAGGACACTATACATCTCCCCACTATATCCCAGTGTGAC